CGCCCGATTTGTGCGTGCGGGACGTGCGTGTGGATGAAGTGGTGAACGCCGGTCTCGGGACGTCGGTGGTGTGCTACGTTGGCGTGACCTTTGCGGCAGATGTCGTGGTGGACGTGGCGTCGATGTCAGGGAGCGTGCGCAACGTGACGCTGGCGAACTGCACGTTTGTGGGCGGAGCGAGCCTGTACGTTGTCGGGTGGCGTTCCGATCCGCCTGCTGGCGAGCGCGCCGATGTGTTGATCAGCGGGCTTGAGTCGTGTTCTGGCGGCGGCGTGCTGGTGGCGAACCGATTTCCGCCGGGCTCGCGCGTCACTGTGGTGGACTCGGTGCTGATCGCAGAGAAGCGTGTTGTGTACCATGACGCCTACGGCCTTGGCGCCGCCTCCGCGTGCCTCGTGTTGCACAACGTGAATCTGACGGGGAGCGTGCTGACCATCGCGCGCACGCACGTGGCGGCTGTGTTCCGCGACGCTGTTGGCGTGTTGGTGGTTGGCGGCGTGGCGGTGTCGTCGCGCGGTGCGCTGTACGTGGACGGGCTGTCGGTGCAGACGGCGCTGGGGCTGTGCGTGTCGGTGGAGGGCGGTGTTGTGGCCAGCGGCGGCTCCGTGGTGGCGTTTGTTGACAGCGACTTCCTGCTGTGCAAGCACGCGGTGTCTGTGCGTGGGGCTGTGAGCGTGTCGGGCTCCGCTGTGGCGCTTGTGCGGAGCGAATTTTCGTCGACGGAGGACTACGCGGTGGCGTTTTATTCGACGGTGAGCCTGGCTGGCGGGTCGATGCTGCTGGCGAGGGGCAACGTGCACGACGGCGTCTCGAGGGAGATGCTCTACGCCGCTGGCGCCGTGACCGTTGCTGGGAGCACGCTGAGCTTTGTGCGCAACCGAGCGCTGCTGCCGCGGATGCTGTCGCTGAGCCTGTCGCTTGCGGCTGGGGCACGTGTGAGGGTGGCGTGCAACGACGCTGGTGGACGTGTCCTGTTGACGGCGGAGGAGTACGCTGCGGCTGGTTTTGGCGACGCTGGGAGCATCGACGTTGCTGGGTGCGACGCCTGCGACAGGGACACGCACTGCTACGCGCCCGGGACGGCGTCTGCGAGCATGAGGAACGGTATGTGCGTGTGCGCGTGCGGCAGCGGCGGGTACGGCGAGGTGTGCGTGCCTGTGGGAGCTCCTGCACTGCCGCCCGCTGTGGGCACCGCGTCGAGAGTGTTTGTCCGCGAGAGCGTGACGGTGCGGTCGGTTTTCTTCGTGCCTGCTGGCGCGAGCGAGGTGACGCTGCGCCACGTTGTGCTGGACGGCGTGAGTCCTGTGCTCTACGTGCCGTGGATGGCGCGGGACGGCGTGCGGATCGTTGTGCAGAACGTGTCGCTGCTGAACGGTGCCGTGTTGTACGTGATGGGCGGAGGAGGCTTGCGCGGTGCGGTGGCGGCGGGGAGCGACGAGAGCGGGCCGGTGGAGCTGTCCGTGTGCGATGTGGAGGCGCTGAACGGTGCGCTTGTGCTGAGCGGCACTTTCCCGCGGGGTCTG